GAGCACTTGCACACACACTAAATCAACCTTAATTACAGAAATTGTGTTTCAGTAGTGATCATTTTTAATGTTCCACACTGATTTTGACTTTGGGACACATTTACTTCAAAACAATGAGCTCTAACTGCTCACCATGTGGCTCACCATGCTCACCATGTGGCCATAAGCTCTGCCTATGCACTAAAACTCTTTGTGTTTCGGTGGTGACAGGAAAACATGGGACAGGATGTTTTGAATAAAGTTTTTTTTAATTTAACAATAAGACTTCAAAAATGAATCTTAGACCATATACTTATAATATAGATTGTACTTATTTTACTTAACATTACTTAAATATAATCCAGTTTGTTTTTAGTTACTCCAAAATAATATATTTAACGTGAATATTTAATTATGCTTTGTAAAAGTACACGTATATGTTTCGGTAGTGACAAATTTAGCTCATTTTGAGCAGAACTCAAAAACGCTAGCGAGCACCTGGCTTGTAAATACAGCTTTGAACAGTTGCACACAAAAAATCATGATATTTATAATCAAAACACAAAACAAAAATGCAGAAATTAAGTGTTTTGGTAGTGACAATACTTATGATAATATTCCACACTGAGTTTCAGACTTTGGGGCACATTTACTTCCAAACAATAAGATCTAACTCTGTTTAGTGTCAACATTAAACCTTTTTTATTTCACTTTTTAGTAACGAATATAAAATGACATTTTTGCTTTGCATTTTTTTTTTTCCAGTTTTGGAGAATGAGCCAATCAGCTCCTAATCATCAGACGACGTGCATCATGTACCATGGTACCTCCATGGGGAATGCACTTAGCATCAAGCGCGAGGGTTTTATCCCGTCCTCACGTGGCATGTTGGGCCCGGGGGTGTATGTGACCTCGAGCATGGAGAAGGCCTGTGCATATCCCGTACATCTAAGGGGCCAAAAGCGAGCGATTCTCAGGCTCAGAGTACAACTGGGCAGAGTTATGAAGATCGACAGGCAAGATCATCCTCTGCAGAAGAGCTGGCACGAGGCAGGCTACGACTCAGCCTGGGTACCACCCCAATGTGGTATGGTGAGCAGCGGACTGCCAGAGAACTGCGTTTGGGATCCAAAACGGATCCAAGTTCTGGAGATCATAGAGAAGGACAGCAACTCTGAAATGTGCTGTGATGAATGCAGGTTCTTTGCAAAACAGCAGCAGTGCAGCCTGCTAACGTCCTGCTGAGAATACCTCCAAGGATTCATGAGATGAAGAGGGCAGTGACTTTACTGAAGACCACAGATATTTGTAATGTATATTAATTGTGTTGCCTTGTTATTTAGAGATAATAAAAAATTCAGTATATCCCCAGATTTCAGATTTCGCTTGTTTCTTTAAACATTTAATTAAGTATTCAATTGTTACATTAGTATTTATTTCTCTGTTTAGTAGTGTTGTAGTCAAGACCATTAACCCCTTAAAATCTCAGGCTTATTACATACTAAGGCCTAACACTTTGAAGAAGAAGAGTAGTGAGCAGTGAAGAGGACGGTTTTAAGTTGAACTTTAAAAGATGAGAGGGTAAAGCAAACACAAAGAGACTGAGAGTTCCAAAGTTTGGGAGCAGTAGCACTGAAAGACCTCCCACCCACTGTCAAGTGTCCAGTTCTACCCCCTCCCTCAGTCTTCCCTTATACTACCACCACCATGTTTAAGGCACGGTCTGAACTCACAGAATGGGTGGCGGATGATTCTCAGCACAGATGTGTGGAAACAGGGCCTACTTGCATGTTGAGGTTGATACATACTTTTACTTTTAACTTTCACTGCAGTTTTCTTGTTCAAACTGAGTATTAATTTTAAACTGAAGACATGCTAGACACACATTAAACACACTCTCAAATACAACCTCATTTCCAAAAAAGTTGGGATGCAGTGAAAAATGTAAATAAAAACAAAATGCAATGATGTGCGAATCATGTACACCCCTATGTTTCAATGAAATTGCTTCAAAGACAACATATCAAATGTTGAAACTAAGAAACTTTATTGTTTATTGAATAATATATGGCCATTTTGAATTTGATGCCAACAACACGTTCCAAAAAAGTTGAGAAACAAAAGACTGGTAAAGTTGTGTAATGCTTAAAAAAACACCTGGTGGCTCATTTGCAACAGGTCAGTAACATGATTAGGTATAAAATGAGCATCGCTGAGAGGGTGAGTCTTTCAGAAGTTCAGATGAGGAGGGGTTCACCACTATTCAACAATTCAAGAATAACATTTCTCAACATACAACAGCACAGAACTTCTGCTTTTCATCATCTACAGTACATAATATCATTAAAAGATTCAGAGAAATCTCTGCATGCAAGGGACAAGGCCAAAAAACTGGCCGTGATCTTTGGGCCATACATTAAAAACGGACATGATTCTGTAGTGGTAATCACTGCATGGGCTCAGAAACACTTCTGAAAAACACTGTCTATGAAAACAGTTCGGCGCTGCATCCACAAATGCTAATTAAAACTCTTAAACGCAAAGAAGGAAGCATATATAAACAGGATCCCAGAAACACCGCCACCTTCTCTGGGCCTGAGCTCATTTAAAATGGACTGAGGGGAAGTGGAAAAGTGTCCTGTGGTCCGACGAATCAACATTTGAAATTCTTTTTGGAAATCATGGACACTGTGTCCTCCGGGCTAAAGCCCACTCAGCTCGTTATCAGTGCACAGTTCGAAAGCCAGTATTCATGATGGTATAGCAGTGCATTACTGCACATGGCATGGGTAACGTGCACATCTGTGAAGGCACCATTAATGCTGAACGATATATACATGTTTTGGCAACATATGCTGCCCATCCAGACGTATTTTCATGAAAGGCCTTGATTATTTCGGCAAGACGATGTCAAACCACATTCTGCATGTATTACAACAGCATGGCTCTGTATTAAAAGAGTCCAGGTGCTAAACTGACCTGTTTGCAGTCCAGACCTGTCACCACTGAAAACATTTGGCACATTATAAAATGAAAAATATGACAAAGGAGACTCTGAACTGTTGAGCAGCTGAAACTACAGTTCAAACAACAGTTCTGGAACGTGTTGTTGGCGTCAAATTCAAAATGGGCATGTTTTTCAAAAAACAATAAAATTTCTCAGTTTCAACATTTGATTTGTTGTCTTTGTACTGTTTTCAATGAAATATAGGGATTTAAATGATTTGCACATCGTTGAATTTTGTTTTTATTTATATTTTGCATAGCGTACCAACTTTTTTGGAAATGGGGTTTTAAAATTCTGCTTTCTTTACTTGGTTTATTACAGAAAGCATGTTCTCTAGTTGGGCCCACTACATATTCCACAAGGGGAGATGGTAAAATCAAACCTACAAATATCAGCAAGAAGAGAATGTAGGGCATTGAGAACAGAGAACATACTGGTAAAAATCATTGTTCTCACTGATCTGAAACACACAGAAGTATGGCAATAAGCCTTAAAGCACCACTAGATGGAGTTGTGCGCCATTTGACAGTGTTGCTGTACTAGCAAACACTGACCAGCAGATGGCAATGTTGTACTTGTTGGTCTGTAACTTGTGACACTAAAGAGGGAAGAGATTCTTAATTCAGACTCTATGGCCGTGTCCAAATGTTTAACCATTGACCTTCCTTTGCTATCTGCCTTTTTTGATTTTGCAGCCATGTGGATACATATGCTAGTCAACTCTGCCTCTATATTTAGTGAGGCCATGAGCTACAGATCTACTGAGATGCTGAGAAAAGGTCAATGTTGACCATTAAGCCCTACCCCTAGAATTTACATCATTTGTGGAAACTAATTTGTGAACTAGTCCTCGGTTGGCCGCATAAACTGCTTAAAACCGAACTAAAACTAACCCGAGAATTTATAATGTATGACCCAATAGGATGTGATTTTTGGATTATTTATCAATAAAAACATTTAATCCCTTATATTAAGGTATTCCATCTTGTTTCTGGGCCTCACTAATGTCATTTCTATATTTCTTGCTCTTAGAAAAAAAATTCCATTTCAGTATCACTACCCAAAGCCTTCGTGAAAGGGGGTCAAAATTACCCCTGTCCATTTCTTAAGGCATTTTGACTCACCATGGTACTTTTGATACATTTTGTCATTAAGAATATTTCAAACTTAGACATTTCATGGATTAAAACATGTTTGTGATCACGTCAATTTCAAAAGACATTTGGATAAGACTGCTAGTCTTCTGAAAAAGGGTCAGTTCATTTACTACACTATTTTGTCTCTGATCAGACCAGCAGTGTCATGGCTGGACTGAGAATAGTCCACCTACTAAAACAGCCAACAGAGTCCTGTGGCCACTGATGAAGGACAGAACAAACTGTGCAGCAACAGTAGAGCTATGGACTCTGACTTTACATCTACAAGGTGGACCAAGAAAGTATGTGCGTCTGATAGTGGACAGTGAGTGGACACAGTGTTTAAAAACTCCAGCAGCACTGCTGTGTCTGATCCACTCGTACCAGCGCAACACACACTAACACACCACGACCACGTCAGTGTAACAAGGCTCGCTAGCAAACTACTAGAGCTTATAGTTAGCCAGCCAAGTACCAAATTCTGTGTTACAGACAGGCCTGTTATTGAGAAACTGATTAATGGACTGAGAGAATGAATAAATGAATGTATGATTGATTATTCATTAGTCATTTATTCTGGTGCCTCTTTGCCAAGTCAGCTGAGGAAAAAAGTGCATTTAAAGTGTATTTAAATGCAAACGAAATGCATTTAAATAGCACTGAATTTTCTCTTTCTTTACTGTGTATGTACATGAGAAACAATGAAACACAAACATTTGTCCATCATTAGATTCAAACAATTATGTCATTGTTTTCCACACAGTAATTTGCAGGGTGCGAGTGCTTGGACCCCGAATATTGCCTCACACTGAGAAGTTTTGTGTGGTGAAAAATGTACAGAAAACAATATTAATGGAAACAGACCACACTTTATTTCAAATTAATATTGTTTTTACTCATAAACAATTTTAACAGTTGATAAAATAAGTCACCAAAGAGTTTTTTTCTTTTTTTATTCTACATGTTTAATGTTACGTTACTTTGTCCAGTTCTACTTCTGATTGCTTGTTTTGGGGTGGACATGCAAACCAAACACAATAGCAATGTCTCCGTCTGGTCCATCTGTGATTGAAGTGAGAAAAATAAATAAATAAATAAAAAATAATTTTAAAAAAGTCATCCCCCGGTCCAATTTGAGACCATTGTAGTGATCAGACTGCTGAAATGCAGTGTGTTTAATGAAGTATTGCCAAAATCAGACTTTCTGCAGTTATGTGAACAAATATGTAAACAAACATACTGAGGATTTTATATTTTCTATATCTGCTGTACATACATGACACTGACCTTTTGGCACGGTCAACCAATTACAATCTATGAACATAAAGCCCAGTCCAATCTCTATATGTAGAACACAAAGACTACTACTTTGCCCCTCTATTTAAGGTGAGATAAGGCTGATGAAGCATAGTTACTGTAAAATGGGTGGGGGGCCAACTTGTATCCATTTTACAGTACCTTACCGGCTAAAGCAGCTAAACTATCTTCTTTTTCCAAATGGGGGTCAAAGCAATTTAACAGGAAACAATACCAAAACCCCACATGCAGCTACTACTTGCTGGATGGGGTCAGTGGTTCTAAACTGGACAATTTAAAAGTGCAGGTAGGTGATGGTCTCAGGCCCACATAGAGCGGCTCAGCGAAGGTGGTACGGAAGGTGTGTATGTGGATCATGGCCTCCTTGTTGACCGCATAGAAAGACAGAAGACCTGCGGTATGGTCCAGAAAGACACCGAGTTTGGTCTTCCTTTTCCTCTTGTCTTGGGTTTCAGTGTCTAAATCAAGGTACTCGGAAAACTTTTCCCTCACACTCGGGCCGTGGCGGAGAATGAAGGGGTATTCGTGCCCGCACTCCGCACACCATGACTTCTGGCTGTTCATTAGGTCATCCAGGAAACTGTTCTCCTTTCGGGGGATGCTGCCGTAGCAGACGGCAACGGAACCGCGTAATGGGGCTCCTTCCACCTCCCAGTAAAAGCGCCCTCCGAAAAGGGATTCTTTGCAGAGGACCTGCAGCTGATGGTCGAAGCGGTCGGGGTGAGGTGGGTAAGGGCGAGGCGTGCGGTTGCATTTGTCTTCACCGGGGCAGAAGCAGGAAGAGTCACACGTAACTGACCGCTCCTCGTGGTTCAGCTCCAAATATCCATTGGCTGTGTTGGGGTCCAGCGTCAGATGGCAGGCATCTGAAAGACATGTTAGGATTAGGAATCTGCAGTACTGCTCAGTAATGGTCCTTTTAGGCATGTGTGGTGGTTTACTTACATCGTAGAAAGTCTGTCCTGGTCTTCGGCATAAATATCAGCCCTTCTATTTCCTTTGCTAAGGAAGAAAGAAACGCAATAACCTATATTAGACAATTAACGTTTACAGCAAACAATAAAGTAGCGTCAACTAAGATTAAAAGCAGAAGAGTAGTAGGGTCAACTAGTCATCTAATTGGTATTAGTATCTAGTTGGAGTTAGGGTTGTAAAAGAATAACTGTTTAACTGCTAAATGGCAAATAATAGATGGACCGATGCTGTCGGTTCAAAAATATTTCATTTCTAATAAAAAGTTCCCACTCAAATATGCAGGTTTATCATTCAATTTGAGGAATATTTGATTTCTTACACTTAAAGATGCAATAAGCTATCAGTTCCACTTTACTGCCCTACTAAAAATGTAAGTGCTTAGCTAAAATTAATGTTCCTGACCACTTTCTCAAGAGGGCGACAGCACAACTACAACAACGTACCGCGTCAAAAGCAAACATCCCTGAATGATAAGCTACCTAATTTGCACTCATCAACGACAGATGCCACTTCCATGCCGACAGACTATTTAGAACGTGTGCCAGAAAGAACCTTTTAATTACAACTAACCATAAACATAAGCACTTGGAGTTTGCTAGACATTTCTAGAACTTTAACTGGGTTTTAACGTCAGACGAGACAAATATAGAGCTTGCTGACAATAAATAAATATTCATTTGGCATAAAAAGAAAGATGGTTATTCAGAATTGAGTATCTACACTGTCAAGTATGGTGTAGAATCTGTCAAGTTTTAAGGGTGTTTCTCCTCCAAGGGCTTTGGGAACCTTGTTTGGGTACATGGCTCCATGGACAAAAATCTGGCTGCCTCCACCAAAAAGATACAACTTCTTGTCGGCCTATGACGCAAGATGCTTCTAAATCACACAAAATAAACTGATCACAGAGTGAAGCTTTTGACCTGGTCACCCCAGTCCCTTGACCCAATCACCACTGAAAACCTGTGGGGTGAGCTCAAAAGGAGTCCACAAGGGTGACCTGGGACCCAGGAGAGATTCTGTATTGAGGAGCAATTCCTTGCTCTGTATTCTCCAATCTTATCACGAATAGGAGAAGATTCATGTCATATTGACAAAAGGAGTTGCACAAAGTTCTCAAAGCAGTTGGTGCCAGGGTTTTTTTTTAAAGGTTTCCTTGTCTTATATTATATTAGATATTGTTCATGTGTATCAGTCACACCCACTGTCGGTGTTTCAGATGAATATAAATACTGTTACAATATCAATATAGACCCACCACCTAAAAAAAGGAAGTGTATGATCTGTTGTTGCTGTAAGTCAGGCCTTCTGATCAACTAAGAAAATCCAAAACTAGAGATTTCTTTAGAGAATAGTTCTAAAACTCACCCCTTTTGGAAAAAGCAGTCAGTTCGTCATTGCAGACTTTCTCCAGACGCCCTCGGACTTCTGAGACGGCTGTAGCAGCTGCGGCTGAATTTTCGAAGTAGGATTCTGGGGCAGCTTCGCACAAAGCCTCAAAGCTCTAGAAAAACAAATAGCATGAGTAAAATTAACCAAGAATTTTTAATGAGGTAACAATTTCAATACAGTATCAAAAAATCTAAACTCCAAACACTGGAGAAGAGTGTGCAGATATCTTTAATGGACACTACTAGGCATCTACATGCCATTGGAGTAAAATGGGTTAGATATGTTGGGTACTTCAGTATTCGTATTAATTACTTCAATCACTTCAATATCTATTTTTAATCACATGACTGCAGGGCTCACATGAACCTGAACATGTAATGGCATATTTTTATGTATTATTCATGGATTCTTGTTACAGTGGAAGCTTTGAAGGGGAATGTTATCCTTCCATTTTGCTATTGCTTTTGTTAGTTTGCTGCTCCTTGATTTATTTGTAAGACGTCCGCAAGAACTTGTCTGCTGAACAAGAGGACTACAAATGCGGCTTCTATTATGGCAACATGAACACTACTACAGATGGTTCGTAGTGCCAAAACAGGAACGAGCGATTTAAAAAAAAAAAAAATGGTGTTAATAATTAATCAATAATCAAATATTAACTTCCGAATAGAAAATCGTACTGAACCAGAAAACTGCACATTTTAAAGGTTAATGTGACCAGAAGCATGTTTTTCATGTACCAACAGAAATGTAAAAAGCAAATTTACAACTTGCAAAAAAAAAAAATAAATAATCTTGTGACCAACAAAAGCTATTTGTAACTCTATCCACTATCACACAAATCTAGAAGCCTCTTTACACTTAGCAATATCAAGCATTTTGGACTAATCAGAGCTGTTCAATCAGGAAACCAAGACAATTTGGAGATGACCTGATATCCAATCACTCAAACAACTTTACACACACTAGAGACACCATTTTCATATATAGCCCCCCTTTAGGGGCTCAAAAGTAGTTAGACAACTGGCTGTTCAGCTGTTCCATTGTGTGTTATTCCCTCATTATGTCACTTACAAGTAAGCAGATAAAAGGTCTACAGTTGTTTTCAAGTGTGGCATTTGCATTTAAGATGTGTCGCTCTTAACTCTCAATATGAAGTATCACTACTGTCACTGCCATTGGGGCAAGCCATCACTAGGCTCAACAATCAAAACAAACCCATCAGAAACAAAGCAAAAAACATTAGGTGTAGCCAAAGCAGTTATTTGGTACAATCTTAAAAAGAAAGAACACACTGGTGAGCTCAGAAACACCAACAGCCCTGCAGGACCATAAAAAAAGCCTCTAAAACAGACCAAAATAAACTTTGCCAAAAACATCTTTGCAAGCCTGTACAGCCTGTAACAACCTTTATGGACAGATAAGACAAATATAAACTAAGCATGGCGGAGGTAGTGTTATGGTGTGGACATGTATTGCTGTCAAAGTAACTCGTTCCCTTGTATTTATTGGTGATGTGACTGACAAAAGCAGCTGGATGTATTTTGAAGTGTACAGGGCTATATTATCCGCACAGATTTAGCCAAAAGCTTCAAAACTTATCGGACAGCGCTTCACAGTGCAGCTGAAGAACGACCTGAAGTCATACCGAACCCAAGACTTTTTAAGGCAAAGAAGTGAAATGTTCTGCAAATCACTTGTTCTGCATAGATTTCACTTACCAAAGGCAAAACGCCCCACAAACTATCACAATCTGAAGGCAGTAAAGGCCTCACAGAGCCAGCAAGGGGTGATGTTTATGGGTTCCACTTGAGGCAAAAAAGATTTGCAACCAAGTATTAAGAACGTAATTTAATTTATGACCGTTTGTCCAATTACTTTTGAGCCCCCAATAACTGGGGGGATGCTATGTATGAAAATGGCTGCAGTTCCTACACGAGTCACCTAATTTGGATGTATATAAATACCCACAAGTCTGCACTTCAAGCTGATTATTCAATTTCAAATCCAATGTGCAGCGGTAGACAGCTAAAATAACTTTGTCAGCGTCCAAATATTTACGGCATAGAACACTTTCCATGCCCCACATCATCAGAAGAATCCAAAGGAGAATTCTGTAGATAACACGGTGAGAGCTGCACCGAAGGAAACGGGGTTTCTATCTGTCTAACAGATAGTGTGGAACATGTAAATCTTATCTAGACGTTATCCGGACAGAAGACAGACGAAATGAAGGGAATAAATAGGTTATAAAAGGATTGTGGTTTTTGGCAAGTATTTTTTATATTACCTTGAGGAAATGAATGTGGTCGTCTGATTGGGACAGCTGCTGGAGCTCAGCGTCTCTCTTTTTCAGCTCAGCCAGCACCTGCTCCTGCTGGGCCAGAACGCCTTGAGCAGTGCTAACAGCATTGCTCTCTTCAGCTTTGATTAGCTTCTCCAGGTCAGTCTGCCACTGCCTCACGGCTTTAATCAGCGAGTCCCGTATCAAGCAGCTTTCACCCACGGTGGCTTTGGTGGGGTTCTGTTTGGAAATCCAGACACAAAAACAGACTTAATATAAAACAACTTGCAAACCTTTCCACCACATTTTGAAAATGTCATTTTCTGAAAGTAGTGATTGCAAAGTGGTTTTAATCCAGTATGAATCTGCAGTGAGTGTAGCTTTTACAGTGACATTAATAATTGTGGAGCGATTTTAATCCAGTATGAATCTGCAGTGTGTGTAGTTTCTACAGTCTGACAGTAATAATTGTGGAGTGATTTTAATCCAGTATGAATCTGCAGTGTGTGTAGTTTTTACAGTGACATTAATAATTGTGGAGTGATTTTAATCAAGAATGAATCCGTCCAGTGTGTAGTTTTAACTGCAGAATGATTTTAATCCAGTATGGATCTGCAGTGAGTGTAGCTTTTACAGTCTGACAGTAATAACTGTGAAGTGATGTTAATCCAGTATGGATCTGCAGTGTGTGTAGCTTTTACAGTCTGACAATAATAACTGTGAAGTGATGTTAATCCAGTATGAATCTGCAGTGTGTGTAGCTTTTACAGTCTGACAGTAACAACTGCCAAGTGGTTTTAATCCAGTATGAATCTGCAGTGTGTGTAGTTCCTACAGTATGACAATAATAATCGCCAAGTGGTTTTAATCCAGTATGAAGCTCCTGTTCCAATCCCCTGCACACTAATGGAATAACAGAACCACCATAACAGACCATGTCACTGTAGTTAAAGTAAGCCTGTTGCATGACACTGGCGTGAACATGCGCGCCGTGGCTTTTCCGTTCAGACTATCTGTAGAAATTTGGGGAAATTACATAGATACTTTATCTCATACAAACCCCCCTGCAAAAAAATTACATGTCTCATAAAACTAATCCAGCCTGAGTAGTGCTTAATTGCGCCCCTGAAGACGTAGGCGAGTAATTTTCTAGAAATCACTACCTATCAATTCAGGGCTAATTCAAAACGGAGTCTATGGAACAGAGCAATGACAGGAAAAATGATGAAGTTCAATTTGTAGTCCACTCACAAATTACATGAGTGAACTACATTTTTTATTACGAAAGGAAAATTGCAACCTAATGTAAGAAAGAATCGGGACCTGCCACACTTAATCCATTATCTGAGATATAATTCAGCGTTCACCTTGTAATTTCCCACGGTCTGTTTCAGCTCCTTCAGCTCCTTCTCTTTGGTCCTGATCCTCTGCTGGGAGCTCTGCTGTGCTGCTGCTAGCTGTTTCTGTGGAAATCATAACAATTCGTATTAAATCGTCAGCTGGGCTCCATCAGCTGGGGTGAGTAGAATTACTGACACATGCATTTAAATTATGCATGTAAAGTACAAAATACTATCCATGCTAGCTGACGCATACAACCCATTTGCAATTTGTAGCAGAATGCATTTTTGCACACTATATTTCTTCTTTCAAAACCACTAAGCTTTAAAATGAGCTGGTTTAAACTGAAGCACTTAAGATGAGCATCTAAAAGTAGGCTATCACACTGAAACCACTCGAACACTCTATTACCCTACAGGAAGAAATACCCAGCAAGGGCTGGAATATAATGGAACACAAGCATTGGGACTACATTCAGAATACAGAAATGAAGTATTTGTTCATATTTAAATTAAGTGCCACAGCATTTTTAAAAAGTTCAAATTTCAGGGGAAGAAATGCAGTTAAATGAATAAAAAAAACAGAAGATTCGGCACAGTAACCCAGCGTTACCTCAATATCCCGCTCTTCTGGAGTTCAATTAATTTGAGATTGAGTCCCAATGTGGGGGAAAAAGGGATGTACAACATTGTTAGCTTAATGCTAAGTAAGACTAAAAAATTCCATAGAGGTGCTAATGAAAATTAGCCTTGTCTTCACGGTTGTAATTTGGTGAGCGAAAAGTACTTACAAAGCAAAATAATAGTTTATCTTGATTATTTTTAACAATAATTTAAGTTAGTATTAATTAATAATAATAAAAATTTGTTAGTAATTATTGATTACTGAAAGACTGCGCATGTTATTTTGGCATTTTCTCTGATTGCTTTGTGTTGTGCCTAATAACAGCCTCACTCGTGATAAAATCACTGTAATGCACAGCCTCTCCGGGCTTACTGCTTTAAAGAGTAACTACCCCCCTGAGACCTTTTTCCATTAATAACTGAAATGCATTGTTCTGTAATAATAAAATATACCAGCCTCGTTTAAAATGTGAACACATCTTTCCAAACTGTAAAAATATCATTTTTATCGTGGTCAGTTCCACCTCTGCAGTGCCCCTCTGGTTCAACTCTGCTATAGGCGCGGATGATGTGTCTTCATACCAAAGTACGATGACACGTCATAGTATGCAAATCAGTCAGCCAACGTTCCCGCCCTCTGATGACGCCCTACTCGTGCCCATAGCCACGAGAGATGGCTCTGCCTGTGCCGTGCTCATAGATACGAAACCATACGAGTGTAGAACGAGGGAGAACATTGTATGTTTCTCCATGCATACCGCTTCATCGCATTTAGTGTTATTTAGCGTTCTAGTTAGTTATTATTGGCAATTCTCATCTATTGTATTTGTAGATATCATAGTTTTTAGCCTTTTCGGCTTAACTAACCTTATATTGATAATGTTCAATGGATGATTAGGTAACCTGATGGACCAATTAAGCGACGTCTCCATATAGCTGCTGATTAGCTTGCAGAACGTAAGAATTTAGGGCCACTGCAGCAAACCCTGGATGACAGAGGAGGCAGTGTATGACCAGTGTTCTACCATTAGGATGCCTCTCCCGCTCGCTGCTAATCATTTTCTGGCACTATGTTAACTCATCGGCGGTTTGAGTCAGTGGCTCATACTGTTAAGGCTCAAGACGCGCTGCCTGATCAGAAACACTTTCCCTCGTCAAAGATGGGGATGGTAATGGAGAAAAATCTTCAACCCCATAAGACCTCGAAGTTGCAAAAGAGTGATTTGATTCGGTCACTCTCCATATTTTCTGGTAACTACTGTACATTAGCTCTAAAAACACAGCAGCCCAGCCCACCCAGTTTCCCTAGCAGGCCCACCATCAAACCCGTGGATCACTGCCTTCCCCCTCAACATGACCCTCCCATTTCTGAGCATTTTTCAAAGTTGATCCAGGGGTGGAGTTCCTCTTTAAGTACTGACAAAAGGTGCAATATGATCAGAAAAGCCTCAAATTTATCATGTAACAAAATTTAACATGTTAACAGTAACATACTGTCCTATTGCCCACCTGTACTTTTTTGCCAGGTCCCTATGGACCCCCTAAGGTGACATGGTGATTATTTATTTAATAAAGCATGGCCACAAATTAATGTATTGAGGCCACAAGTTAGTTTCTCATAACTCATGACCTGAATATATTAATTTGTGTCCTCAATATATTAATTCATGGCCTCAATACAGTAATTTATGGCTACAGTGTAGTAATTCATGGTGTCTCTGTGGTATACTGGCCTCGATATACTAATTTGTGGAGTCTCTGTAGTAATTTGTGGCCTCAATATAGAACTTTGTGGCCTCAAAATAGTAATTCATGGAGTCTCTATAGTAAACTGTGGTCTCAATATACTAATTCATTGTCTCTCTATAGTAAATAGTGGCCTTAATCTAGTAATTTGTGGCCTCAGTATAGAAATCTGTGTCCTCAAAATAGTAATTCATGGCTTCAGTACAGTAAATAATGGAGTCTCTATAGTAAACTGTGGTGTAATATACTAATTTGTGGAGTCGCTATAGTAAATAGTGGCCTTAATATAGTAATTTGTGGCCTCAGTATAGAAATTTGTGGCCTCAAAATAGTAATTCATGGCTTCAGTACAGTAATTAATGGAGTCTCTATAGTGAACTGTGGCCTATATAGTAACTCGTGTCCACGCCTCATTAAAAAATAAGCACCATGTCCCCTTAGGGGCTCTGTAGGTCACTGTACAGGTCATGGTCAGTTTACCTGCACTTTCTTTGTGGCTCTCTCGGTTTCGGCGGACACTACGTTGTGTCCTTTGTGCTCCCCAAACATGCAGATGTAGCAAATGCACAGTTTGTCGGTCTGACAGTAAAACTCCAGCAGCTTGTTGTGCTGTGAGCAGATCCTGTCCTGCAGCCGACCCGCCGCAGTGACCAGCCTGTGCGTTTTGAAGGCGGCGGACTCGTAGTGCGCCTGAAGGTGCTGCTCGCAGTACGAAGCCAAACAGACCAGGCACGACTTGGTGGCTTTAGCTTTAGCTCCTATACAGACGTCGCACATCACATCCACCGCTCCGGCAGCTCCAGCACCCTCAGCCTCAGCCTGCACCGAGCTGGAGCTCTTCCTCTCCTCCCGGAGCTTCTCCACCACCTCGGCCAGCAGGGCGTTCTTGGCCAGTTTGGGCCTGGGCACGAATTTCTGCCGACACTGAGGGCAAAAACTGTCGCCTTTATCCCAACACCTCGCGATGCACGCCATGCAGTAGCTGTGGCCGCAGGGGATCGTGACCGGGGTCTTCATTAAGTCCAAGCAGATCGGACATCTGAACTTATCGGAGTCGATGTAACTGCCGCCCTCGGCCATTTCGGGTCGCAGAGCTGTTCTTGTTATTTCCAGACGGTTCGCCTCCGAGATACAAATGTTCTTCTTCTGTGGTTTTTAAACCGTTGATGTTGACTCGAATGCTGGGGGGTCGCGTTGCTGCCACCTACAGGACAGATTCATTTAAGCCTTTTTCAAAGAATTGTGAAATGGTCCAAATGGTGGAAAACGGAGCAGAGCCCCTAAGGGTCCGTGGTAAAAATAAATAAAAAAAAAAGTTAATGACATTGCGTTCCCTCGCAAATAAAATGCGTTCCCTTGCAAATGTTTTGCATTCCCTTGCAAATGTTTTGCGTTCCCTCGCAAATAAAAACTGAGATCGAGTGTCCTCGTACAGTAAAAGCTACATTTACAGAGACTGCAGAGAACAATTGCTGAATAAACTCAGCACAGACTGGCGAAACTGGGGAAACAGCTTTTCAACGTACAATGTAGGCAATGTCGTTGGGCACCTCTGGTCCTACGTTTGCTTGCTGTCTGACGAGCGTATGTTTTGCGAGGGAACGCGATGTCATTAACTTTTACCACGGCCCCTTAGGGGCTCCGTCGAAAAATGAATTTTCCCTTGTTTTTTTTTGTTTTCACATGGCAGCATATTCTGGACTTTGAAAATTCAGATGCAAATGTGAACATACAAATGCAATTTTGAAAATGCTAATTTAAGTGTGTATGTAAAATTGCATTCCCAATGTGAGTGAGCATTATGTGAATTTGAATGAAGTCTGGAATATGCTGCCATATTAGCAGGTCGTCTCGATAAATAAAATAAAATAAAATAAATGAATAAAATGAAATTACAAAGTTTGCTTAGCTAATTAGCTCACAGGTGCTAGTCTAGCCAGGGGGAAAATTCCTATTGCACACTTGTTGTCCCTGTATGACCTTTGGTGACCCTTTCAGTTTTCCTTAATGTATCACTTTGAGGTATGATGGGAATGTAATGCATTGAGAACATAGAGAACACAGTTAAAACAGCAGTAGCTGTAGGCTGCCTTTGTTCAAATGTCATACAGTGGCAGAACCCATGCCAGCATGTCTTTTTGAGATTATTTTAACATATCAACACAGTTTGAGACAAATGTGTGATGGCGGAAACATTGCACAATGCTAACTGGTGTGTATGACCTCCATTAGTGGTTAGCTATGTTAGCCTAGGTCCAGTGCTAAATAAGCACACTTAGAAGGTGGACACTTGGCTGAACAACTACCTGTTAACTAACTGTTAAGCAGTGTAATTAAACTCGAAAAGTGAAGATCATTTCCAGTTCCGTCCTCCTAGACTCTTCCATTTCACACATTGCAACAATAAGTAAAGGAGGGACTTTTCGTGAGCTAATGACTCAAGTACTCTGCAACTGTACTGGGGTTACACTGACTGTGGCCCAGGCTGCATCCAAACCCACATACTGTTCTATACTATGTTGTATTTTCTGTATGTACCATAGTAACAGAATGTATGAATGGTGGTGTACAAACCATTTATTAGAGTATGTAGTTCTGGACCAATCTCAGTCCGCTGGGTATGACTATGACAGTGGTTGAGTTGTCAAATAATGTCAGAGGGTGGTGGTTTCACTGGACAACGGTGCAAAATGCACAGCTTTACCCAACCTAGCCATTTTCTGTCTTGGAAGAAAACTGAGCTACTCGGTTCTGCGGACTGCTGACTTCAATGGTAGGTAATTTATCGCTGCGTCTTGACACCTTAGTTTTTCCATCGGCATTTTATTCCCCCCCAACTCTCCACAGCAGTTACCGCCAGCATTTAGAATTTCAGACATGATGCTAACTCCTGAAGCTCCAATTTTCAGTCTAATTAATATTTTTATTTATTATTAACATCTATATTTACATGTATATCACTCAGTGGTTAACACTGGTTATCATACCTACTTGTCTTTTTAAGGACGCCACATATCTAGCTGTAATTTTAGCAGACAGGGTTGCCAGATCCAGCAAAAGTCTTCAGTCAAAATTCAGCACACCAGAACCTGAAACGTTGTGATTTTTCTCTCACGATGGCAGCCCACTCAGGCAGGAAAAACGCAAACCTTGCAACCCTAACAGTGGGTGTATGCTCGGTACCAAACACTTCACAGCATTACCAATGAAAAATGAAAGCATGCAGTTCTACATAACAACCTGTTCTGTAGGTGCGCATGCTAAGCCCTGATCATAACTTGAAACACTCCCGTAGTGTGTAAATCTCACATATGGTTTCAAAGAAAATATTAATAATAGACATCTCAGATGGCATTAATCCAAACGGGATGGAAATATCTTTCTTTTGGCTGTTTGTTAACATATGCCTCCTCGAGAAGGCCTAGATTCATTTTTCTTCCTCATGGCGAGCGTATGTATTATATTGCTGGGAGAAGTGTGTGTGTGGTTATAGAGATCTCCACCAGATGGCTGCATCAGACTCTAAAATGGTGATGAGACTGTAGATTCAGTTTACTGAACTGACTCTTGTCTGTTTCAGTGATTCATTGATTCACAAGTCAGATCAACTTTCTAATCTTCGTCATATACAATGACTTCTGTTGGATGTTGCTACTCACTAATGGAGTACTCACATAATCCACATATATCTGAATATTAGACCCAGCTGTATTTGGATCTGAATTCTCCAGGCTGGTAAATTTTAAAAATTGAGCACCCCCTGCACTACAGGCTACAAAGCGAATTTTTACCTTCAGGCAGGAGTCGGCAACATGTGGCTCCAGAGCCGCATGTGGCTCTTTTACTGCCCTGTTGTGGCTCCACAGCAGAATTAGGTTTTTAGGTAAAAATAAAATAATCCTCCTTTGCAGTAAAATAAAGCTCTGCTGATCGTTCAACGCAGTTTTAACAATAAATGGTCTGGAGTTATATGTAAAAAAGCTTACTAACCCTTTAACCCTGAGGGTTGGCGCACAGACTGCTGGTCACCACAGAAACACAGACAACAGTCTCGCCTAGCTAGTATCTAATGAACAGGCAAAGAGAGAGATTTAAGATGGACATTGATAATTTGGAGACAAATGGACTTATTTGCATTTATAATCGCTCCAGCTGGTTTCCTGATACGTTTAATCTGCAGCGAGAAACTGTCAAACACTAAAAAGTCGCAAAGCTGAAGTCAGCTTCTCGTTCTAATTTTTCCCTTCCACCTTAAATAGTGCAGCAGTTGCATCGTGGCGCCTCAGGCACCATTTAAGGTGAAATGGGAAAATTCAAACAAGAAGTTGGGGAGCTGACTTCAGCCTCGTAAAAAGTTGAACAACGAGAGACATTTTACAAGAAACTATTCTACTATTGCAGAAAAGTTTCCTGCCGGAGATGCGAGAAAAGTGGCTATAGCTGAGTTAAAGCTTAAAGCAGAGTCTGAATTTTCGTTTATATTACATTGTTATATATTTATATTATATTATTTTTATATTGTTTGCCCTAAGTGTCTATCTTTTAGTCTATACTAGGACATTAGCACATACTGAGATATTTACAGCCTTTTTTTATTTCATGTCCATAGACAGTTCTTTATGTTATACCATTTAAACCTAGACTATGTAAGTTTTGGGGATTTGGAGACCTCTATAGTGGAAATGTGTAATTGCACATAACATTTTGTAACAAGGATTGTGCTTCAGACCCCTTCCCTGAGCGGATGAATCTGCTAGCTTGCTGAAAGTGTATTCAAAGTGAACTTAGTCAAAACTTGATGAATGACGTGTCTTCTGAGGAAGTAAGTGAATCATCATTGTCATCAGTATAACATTGATTTTGCATTTCTCTGTGAGCCTCTGTGCGTAAAGCAGTGCTCCCTTGGCCCTCTCTGCCTCAGCAGCAGAGATGCTGCTCATGCATGCTGGAGCCCTGACTCCTAGTCTCAGCCAACCACGGCACTGGTACCTGCTCAAAGCATCGCTGGAGGGCGGCAAGCTAATGCCACCAGGCTGTCACGCTGCTAAGCCTCGTTGTGCTGCTTCCTCTTCCGCCATCTTCGCAGTCTTGCCGCGCTGCTTCTTCTTCTTCGTCTGTCTGCCGCAGCTCTTGGCCGGGCTCCGGTCTTTCCGCCATCCATGTTTGAGTTTGTGGAAGCACCATTCCTCTCCATTCCGCTGGGGATGCTATCCCACTTCTGACACCAATGTGGAAGCAGCAAAGAAGAAAGCATTGGAAACATTGCAGTTTGAAGGAGAATGCTCTTTTATCGAGCATGCAGCAAGGGAGAGCCGCCGACATAGCACTTTTATCCATACACTTTCAATGTTGATAGATGACACAAGTAACTCGTGTGCACATCTTTAAGCTAACAACAAAACTTATTTACAATAAATGTCTCTTCGACTGTGAACATGGCACTTCTCAAGAGCCTCCTCACATGGCCACTCAGCATGGCCACATCTCCCACACATACATGGCAATGCCAGCCAGTAGTGGGACACTAAAACCTATTAGGTTTGTATGATATTCTTTTAAAGTACCATCACTGAGGACGCACGAGCTTGTTCACATCATTAAAGCTAACTTATTACCTTTAGTAATACTAACTTATAAATCATCTGGCAACCTGATATAGTCTGAAAATACCATGATATTATTTTTTATGAATATCTATTTTGCCCAGCCCTACTGTCTTTTTCAGGTCTCATTCTCATTGTGCAGATAATAATTCACTACATATGGAATTGTGTTATTCATATTCCAGGTCACATGTTTTGACAAACAACACAAGAAAAGCACCAACTTGTCACAGAATGAGTAAAAATATAAGATATCAAAGTAGGATCATTTAGCTTAATGGCATTCATGCATTTTTTATTCAGTTTGAATGACTGCTGTGCCAGAACATTATTTTAGGCAGACATCAAATGAAGACATTGAAGACATTAAATGAAGAGATGCTTCATTTGTCAGGCTTTTTCAGTCCCATTCCTCTGCTTGCTTGAAAACGCACAAATGTCACTCCAGATATTTGAGTGACACTTGACTCAGAGTGCAGTGGACAAGATAAGAGTAATAGCACTGGAGCAATGGTTTCTAATCCTGC